ATAAAATATAATATATAATATAAAATAATATTATAATTATTATTAAAAATAAATTAATTATTTATTAATAATATTTTAATTTAATTATAATATATTAATAAATAAATTAAATAATATTATAATTAATAACAAGTTAAAAAAAAGTATAAATAAATATCGTAAATATTTATAATATTTATAATAATTATATAAATTATAAGTATATATAAACCGGTTAATTATAAGTAATTTTTAAAATAAAATAACCTTTTTAATCGTACTTTACGTTTTTATATAATATATATTATTTATATTAAAATTAAATTTTAAAAAAATAAAATTTAATTTTAACTTTTTTTAAAATTTAAAATTTTTTTATTTTTATTTTATTTTTTAAATTTATAATTTAATTAATTATATTTTAATATTATTTTAATATTAAAAAATTATAAAATAACCGTAAAAAGATTTTTTTTAAAAAAACGTTTATTTTTAATTAAATTAAATTTAACTTTTAAAATGATTCCACGTTTTAAAACCGTTCCTTTAACTTATATTTTGCCGTTACGGTAGGTAGGTAGGTGAGAGGTATATTCCAGAGTTTGATATTTTCCAGCATATCAAGGTGGCCTGATTCTAAAGAAGCTGACTCGGTATAGCCAGATACTCGGGAGTGAACGTCAACCAATGAGCGCTGTGCCAGAAGGTTGGTTGCTGAAGAAGTAGAACCAACAGACAGACCTACATAAGTTGGCAACCAACCATGAATCAAGCCGGCCCTCCCTTAGTGATATCACCGAACTACTGTTGTTTGCCTTGTATAAAAACGTTATGCAAATGGATATGACAATTCACTTTATGTACATATCAATCTTAATCAAGACGCAGCTTTCCGTGTCACAGTTGCCTTGACATTTTACAAGATCGATCTCGGCAAGCTGCCTTTTCCCCTTTAAGCTTCTCTCTTCTTCCATGCTCTCGGTGTCAGTGACACCCTACACTTCAAGAGGAGGGATCGATTAGGTTCTTACTGAGGCGTTTGCGTTGAGATGATCTGTCACGCTGCAGCGTAGGGGGGGCATGACGGCCGCCTGCGGCACTCAAAACACGCGTTTGATCGCGCCCCGTCCCCTAGGCTGCCACGCAATCTACAGCCCCCAAAATTGCGGGATGGATATTTACCACGGCGCTGGTTGTACTAGGTCAAACGGCGACCTCGACCAGTCACGGACCAGGGAGAACAGTCTCCAAATCTATAACATCCCGCGGCAAAAAGACAAAGAAGAAAAACTGACGTGCAGGACAATATGTATGCGACCACCCGTCTTGACATGACCGGAATTCCACATGATTCGAGGCTCTCCTCCCTGGCCCGCGACGCATTCAAGTATTGCCGCATACCAACAGCGCCTTAGCACTCTGAACGGCTTCCCTTTCTGGCGATGCACCTTTGCGTAAAAGGCCCGCGTGCATTATCACGGTCGCAACTTGGCGGCGATGGTTGGCTCGCTTGACCTCAAGCCTCACCCGGCGATGATGACATTTTTGGTAAAAGCACTCATGACTATGACTCGGCCCGTGCTCATTGGATTGCAGTCTCAGCTGGTATGGTTTGCCTTGGTATTGACATGGGGTGCGTGTTCAAGAGGCTCTGCCGGGAATGCAAGAGGTGCGGAGAGAAGGAGAGGGAGAGGGAGGTCCCTCGGGAAGCTACGTTAAATTTCCTACCTCTCTTTCTACTCTATGGCTCTCCTCTCCATGTGCTAGTGAAAGAAGAGGAAACAGTAGATGTGGAGAGCGCTTTTCGAGTAGGAGTTATCAGATTACTATCTCTCCATAGGAATATCATGGCTGCAACACTTACAACTTTCATTACATCCATTAGCCCTAGCCTTGGACAGCCGACAGCCGCCCCAGGGCTTGGCGTTAGGGATGAAGCATTCGTTACGCTCACTATCACACAATCGTCTGGAACATGTATTACCGTGATACCGTTAGGAAACGCCCAGGCAACCAAGACTACCACTACTGTGCCAGTCCCGGTAGCATGGGCAGCCGGCACCACAACATCCTCGACGCCGGCTCCAGTCCCCGCAGCAAGTACGGGAAGTGACACCGCAGCTACTGCGCTAATAATCATGGGCGTGATTCTCGCCTTGTCTCTTTTACTATTCATCTTCTGTTGCTGCTGCCGCAAAGGGCGAGGAGGTTGCGGCGGGGGGTGTGGTAACGGCGGCGGTCGTCCGCCTAAAAAACCCAGGCGTCGCAATTCCACTTTCTTTTGCGGAACGCAATACATACCGCATTATATCCCAGGTCCCACTGGTCCGCAAGGTGTGCCCGGCCCGGAGGGGCCACCGGTGAGAGCTAATCATGATTCAGATATGCCTATTGATGAAATGTTCTAATTTATTTTCGTGTGTTTTTATATAGGGGGCAGACTCCAACGCGGCGGGTCCTCAAGGTCCGATGGGGCCAGCCGGGGCGCCTGGTCAAGACGGGGGTAAGAGGCCTTTTCTCTTTACTAATGTCCCCATGTGGCTCTAGAATGATGGCATTATGAAGCTAATATCTCCCTATAGCTCAAGGACCGCAGGGCCTCCCTGGCCGTGATGGAGCAGACGGGGAACCTGGGGCTACTGGTAGGTAATTGCTGATTCGTACGGTCACGACGAAGGCAGTTAGCATTCTCATCTAACTTGTTTCTATTAGGCCCACAAGGGGTAAAAGGCGATAAAGGTGATAGAGGTGGGAAGGGTGACAAAGGAGATGCCGGGTAAGTAGAGGTTTCGGCGTCGGTTTCAAGCGTGGTGCCCGCTCTCCAACAATCGCTTGCTAATTCTCAACAAGGCAACGAGGACCTGATGGCCCTTCTGGAAGAAAGGGGGACACGGGGGCTGCTGGTAAGTAACTGTTGATTCTTACGATCATGACGAAGGTCACCAGTGTGTTCATCTAACCCGTCTCTATCAGGCACACCTGGAGCGAAAGGGGATAAAGGAGACAAAGGAGATAAAGGGGGTGCTGGGTAAGTGTAGATCTTGACGGCGGCTTCATACGTAGTAGCTGCTCTCCAACAATTGTATGCTAATTATTAGCTAGACCACAAGGACCTAGAGGTGAGAGAGGCGATGCCGGGTAAGTTAGGGTTTAGCGCCAGCCCCAACCGTAGTAGCTACTCTCTAGTAGATATTCGCTAATTGTTGATAGGCCACAAGGAGCTACAGGCTCTGCCGGAGCTCCTGGAGCTGCCGGGGCCCCTGGAGCTGCCGGGGCCCCTGGACTCAACGGTCGCGATGGCCGTGATGGTCGCGACGGAGCAAGAGGCCCTCCAGGGTATGTTCTATACTGCTAAATGGAACGTCTACTTTCGCTAATATAGGTCCGGAAACAGTCAGGATGGAGAGCCCGGTCGAGACGGATCACCTGGTCCGCCCGGTTCACCCGGTCCGCCCGGTGCCGGAATACCAGGGCCACATGGCCCGCAAGGTGCGCAAGGGTAAGTGGTTTCTCTAGAATTCCGCCCTATTTCATATTCGCTAAACATTTAATAGCTACGATGGAGCACCTGGCTCCCCTGGCCTGCCGGGTCCTCCGGGTCCCCCGGGCCCACCTGGCCCTCCCGGTCCGGCTGACGGCGTAATACCAGGGCCGCGCGGTCCGCCTGGGCCACCAGGACCGCCAGGACATCCAGGGCCCCCAGGGTAAGTGACTACTTGGCACTTATGCCGTGTTTTGCCGTCGCTAAACATCGAACAGCGACGACGGCCCGCCTGGTCCTCCCGGGCCCACGACAATCGTGTATGGGAACCAACCTCCTCATACGACGAATAATGACTTCCGCTGCTGTCGGCGCTGTAGGAACACCTGCCGGGGCGAGTGCGTTGGCCGTTGCGGAGGCGGCAACTGTAACGGCCACTGCGGTTGTGTCTGTCGATGCTGCCACTAGGTAGGCCGATGGGCATGACGGGCTAGGTATTAGGCTGACTAACTCTAGTCTTTATGCTAGATATATCTGGGGTGGATTCATGACTTAGCCTTGCAGTTTATGATTTGATATATGTCGCATAGGGGGAATCGTATGATTCATGTTTTATCGCTTGAACTACTCAACCTAGGTACTTTTACGTGATACATCCCCTTTTATGATTTACCACATTCTAAAGGTAACTTTAACGAAGACCTCCACATGTCAGAAATCTTCTCCTTCTTCATCTCGCTCTCACAACGTTCCTGCTACCCGTTCTTTGGGGTGTAGGTGTTCGTCCTCAGAAAAGACCTTTCTACCACGGAATTCTTGAAAAAGTTCCGTTCTGAGCTGGCGGCGAATGTCATGTCGTGGGAAGTCGGCACTTCTTAGAAGTTAATAGATGACACTAGTTCCACTCTTGCATTGCCCCCATTGCGGGCAAGGAATGTCACTATTTTCAATGGGTAAATGCCTAATGATGAATAACCGAATGTGGTTTAGGAGTTTTCGGATGGCAATTATGTCGAGAGTCTAGCGTATGGAACATGGAACGATTATAATTTCAATGGAGAATCTCCATGCCTCATAGGGTCCCTATTCGAGTTGCATGACTACTAATGGACTGCGCTAGTACTGTTGTCGTCTACCATAGGCGCAACAGCAACCCGTCGCGATGTCCCCGCGGGTCTCCCATAGCAACCTCGTCCCCCACCATCCACCCTCCAACCAACGAAAGGGTTATATAGAGTAAAAAGGTACTAGAATTCTAAGCCGGGGTAGTAGAGTGGTCTACGCCTCTGGAGTTCAGTAATAAATATCCTCCTAAATTCCTGTAAACGTGGATGTCACGCACCATACACCTTGTGGCTGCTAGTACACCACGGCCACAGAGACTGGACTCCAGAGGAGACGTCGGTTCGAATCCGACTCCTGGCATTTTTTTTTCTTTTGTTCAAATTCTTTTTTAAAAAGGGGGTTTTTAATTAGTAACATTCCAGCAATATCCCTATGCACCCACCATGCCATGTTTGTCATTAAATCTCTGACATTGACATATTACAAATATGTAGCGTGTAGTCGGAGGGCGTCGCCAAGTGTAGATACCGGAGCGAGAAACACTTTCAAGATCACGGACCGGCTGGAAACCAACTTGTGACGGGCGCACCGGTTACTCTCGGCTCAACTAAAATCTGGGTTTTAATGAATTCAATACCATCCATAGTTCTGGTAAATGGTATCCTGACTGAGGAGATTGAACCAGTTACGCAAGATGCCGACGTAGCTAGGTATTCAGACATCTCCACCGACGATACGACATCCGAAACATCTCTTGGCCCGATTCTGCATATCCACCACGACCGCTCGGGATCCGAAGTCGGTGTGGGGTCCGATTGATCTCCATGCAAGTTAAAATTGTCCTCGCGTAAGTAAGTATATATAGGATCAGCACAACCGGTAATTGTATAGCACAACTCTCAAGGTATTGCGTTTACGATTGCAGTTGAAATTGGAAGTCGTGCTCAAACAATCAATCAAATCAACATGTCATCATTCATCCACCTCAACCCCCGGGCCCGGGAGTGGACATTCGCGTCCGGCAGCGGGCCCGGGACCGAGGGCGAAGCCGCCGTCCTCGCATTCCACAAAACGGTGCCGGACTACAACGAAACGAAGCTGCATTCGCTGCCCGACCTAGCAGCAGCGCTCGGGCTCGGCCACGTGCTGCTGAAGGACGAGTCCAACCGGTTCGGGCTGCCGGCCTTCAAGATCCTCGGCGCGTCGTGGTCCGTGTACCGCGCCGCGGGCGCGCATCTGCACCTCCCGGTAGAGGAGGGCGGCATCCCGTTCGCGGAGGTCGGCGCGAGGGCGAGGGAGGCGGGTGTCCGGATCGTGACGCTGACGGAGGGCAACTGCGGGCGCGCGGTGGCGCGCATGGCCGCGAAGCACATGGGCCTCCCGACGCGGGTGTACGTGCCGAAGTTCATGGACGCGGCGAAGGCGCGGAGGTGGTCGAGGTCGACGCGAGCTACGACGACGCGATCCCCGTCGTGCGCGAGGAGGCGCAGACCACGGACAACACGATCATGGTGCTGGATGTGGGCGTCGAGGGATACGACCAGGTCCCGCAGTACTTCGTCCAGGGCTACGGCACGATGCTCGCCGAGTCGGACCGCCAGGTCCTCGAGCGGACGGGCGGGAAACCGGCGACCCACGCCATTGTTCCGGTGGGCGCCGGGTCCATCGGCGAAGCGGTCACGGCACATTACAAGAGCGCTTCTCGACGGAATGAAGTCGGCCCGTCGAGAGTGCTGGCCGTCGAACCTACAACCGCTGCGTGCCTTTTCGAGTCGCTGAAGGCGGGCAAGAGCGTCTCGGTGCCGACGGATGACTCCATCATGTGCGGGATGAACTGCGGCACCCTATCCACGACAGCGTGGCCGGTGCTCAGGGACGGCGTAGATGCGGGCGTGATGGTCACCGATCTAGAAGCGCACAATGCGGTCCAGGAGTTGAATGCCCGCGGCATACCTGCCGGGCCCTGTGGTGCGGCTACACTAGCTGCGCTCCAAAGGGCGTGCCAAGACGCGAAGCAAGAGTTGGGCCTTGATGAGACTTCGGTCGTGGTGCTTTACTGTACCGAGGGCCAGAGGGAGTATCCCGTCCCATCATGAGCTAAAGGTGGTGGATAAGAGAGAAAGGGACATCTCGAGACACATAAATAGCATAGAGCAAGCTTTGTTTAGCATTTGATTTTATATACATACATACAAGCAGTATTTATCCGTTGGCTCGTGGCCTTTTGTACATATATGTACACACCGAGATGGGAGTCTTCGGGGGATATTTACGAGAATTCTTTGTAGAAAGAGCTGGGTTGGACTTGCTTGGGCATCCAGAACCACGTTGACACTGCACTGCATTTTCCTGACACTCGGCGCATTTGTTTATGCCCTCGTTGTCGCTGCCCCGTTGAAATGCCTTCACCTAGCGCGATCCAGCAACGCAACGCAAATAGTGCACGATGGAGAGGCTTGGTGTTTCCTTAGAAGCCCATGGTCTGGAGGAAGTTGATGACTTGAAGTCGCATGTGACCCTAGCAGAAACAGTCAGTCTTCAGAGGTTACTTTACTCTTGGTAAAGAATAGTGTTCGCTCACCCTTATCACAATATGCTTGTTCACATTGTTGATGGATACGTCGTTTTGGTCGAGTTGCAAAGCCTCTCTGATATCTTGCTTCAAGGCCATCAGGTCTCCCTCTCCCCTCTTCACGAGGGTAAGTTTGAGATTTCCACCCCTCTTCTTCCTTTGGTACACAGAGAGGTTGTTGAAGTTATTCCTCCCAACAAAGTACGGCAGCGGAAGTGGGGTCTGGGGTTTCGCTGGTATAGAGGAGCTCGCGGGTTCTAGGGAGGGTGGAGGAGTTGCGGGAGAGGAAGAGTTGGATGGTTCGGCAGTGGTGGTAAGACATCGTGTCCGTGTCCGTATAGGCAGAGGCAAGATGAGACGTGTGGAGAGTAGAGGCACACTCGCCGAATATGCGACAAGTGGCCGAAGAATTCTTGGTAACAGCATGGTTGACGTGGTTTTGCAATTGCTGGGTGAACAATTGAACCGATAAAGTGAAACTTAACAACTTTTTTTCTGGGTCCATGCAGATATCCAAGACAGTATTAATTCCCCGAAATTCCAAAGAAACAGACTGTGCCAGCACTGGTTTACTGCATCTGTCGGTAGAATATCGGATAGATAGTTCATTATCGATTATCGGCTGGTGCACAACCCACTTTTTCCGAATTATTCACAGGCTGAGCCCTCGTAAACTCCGTGCCCCTCCAAACATTTTACCTTTTACTGCTTTAATAATTTTCTGGTGCAACTTTTTGCCCAATTTCAACCTCTAATCACCTTTTGCGACGACATCCATCACCCCGATCCCCATCACAATTACCTTTCGATAAACACCGCAAATATGGCGGAATACGATCTTCTGCCGAAATTAATCGGTCACCTCGATCGCCATCTCGTCTTTCCCCTCCTCGAATTCTCAGCCGGTCAACTGCCCGAAGACGCTGACGATGCATCGGTCCTGGCCATCACCAAAGCCAAGTACGAGCTTCTCAAGACCACCAACATGACCGACTTCGTTGGAAACCTAAAGGCAGAGCTCGAGGGTCTGGAGGAGCCGCCGGCCGAGTTCAACGATCAGCGACAAAAGGTCATCTCGCGCCTGGAACAATTCGAGGAGAGCACCAACAAGCTCGTCGACCTGTTGGGACGCGAAGATGTCGTCGGAAACCTGCGAAGCGACAAGGTTGCTAACCTCGAGTTCCTAAAGAAGGACCACGATGTATGTGATGATACTTCACTTTTTATTTATTTTTATTATTATTATTTCTAACATCCATCAGGTTACCATCGACATGGTCAACGCCCTCTACGATTTCGGAAACTTCCAGTACAGCTGCGGAAACTACGCCGCAGCTGCCGATCTCTTGTACCAGTTCCGTGTTCTCTCTACCGATAACGACAAGGTTGCCGCCGCCACCTGGGGAAAGTTCGCATCCGAGATCTTGACCACCAACTGGGAAGGCAGCGTGGAGGAGCTACAGAAGGTCAAGGAGAACATTGACACCAAGCTGTTCAACAACCCTCTCGCCCAACTGAGCCAACGCACCTGGCTCATTCACTGGGCCCTATTCCCTCTATTCAACGACGACCGCACTCGCGATACCCTCCTGGATCTATTCTTCAGTCCCGCCTACATAAACACCATCCAGACCAGCTGTCCTTGGATCCTGCGATACCTCGCAGCCGCCGTTATCACCGGCCGCAACCGCGCAAGGAACTCTGGCCAGTACCAGAAGCAACTAAAGGATATCATCCGCATCGTGAAGCAGGAGGCGTACGAGTACAGCGATCCCGTGACCGACTTCGTGCGAGCGCTCTACATCGATTTCGACTTCGAAGAGGCGCAACGTCAACTTTCCCTCGCCGAGGAGATCTTGCGCTCCGACTTCTTCCTCTTCTCTACCGCCGACCTCTTCGTCGACGCGGCCCGCCACCTCATCTCGGAGAGCTACTGCAAGATCCACGCGCGAATCGACATTAAGGATCTCAGCGCGCGACTGGGTCTCGGCCAGGACGAGGGCGAGAAGTGGATCGTGAACCTGATCCGCGACACCCGAGTCGACGCCAAGATCGACTACAAGGAGGGCACCGTCGTCATGAACCACCCCCCCAGCTCCGTCTACCAGCAGGTCATCGAGCGTACCAAGGGCGGCTTCTTCCGCACCCAGGTCCTCACCGCCGCCGTCGCGAGGTAAAGAGAGTAAAGGAAGCGTAACGACGAGGAGCCCGAGAATTGTATCGATGGAATGGAATGGAATACCCCATTGCGATGGACACGATATTGCGAATGCGCAAAGCCCTAGTGAGCTCTGAGCTCTGAGGTGCCGAGGGTTGAGATACTCGGCCTTAGGGAGATAGGTATCCCCCACGGTTTTTTGTTCAGGGGCAAATGCATTCACGGCGTTAGGGGGGTCGGCCAGATACAGCCAATTGCGGTCTGTAGATCTGTAGGGTAGCATGGATTTGCTAAAAAAAGAATGATTTCCCACGCCTGCTTCCACGCTTCTAGATTTTGAGGTGCTTGTGCTTTTTGCTGCGTCTTGTTCAACTGTGCACCAGGACATCATAAGTGTGTGTCACAGTTCATGCCCTGTCTTGTTTTGGTCTGGGCTAACTGGTATGAAGAGTACAGAGCAAGGGCCAAGGTTGGACTTGGTCTGCTAAATCATGCCAGCTACCTACCTCTTCACTACTACTGGTAGACACTTCATTCTAAATAACAAACAATACGCAGGTCTTCTGGACGTATTATTGACGCTTTTCTTACGGCATATCTACATCCGGTCTTACAACATTTACAGAGGTA